TTTTTTTTTTTTTTTTTTTTTTTTTTTTTTTTTTTTTTTTTTTTTAGGGAATCAAAGAGCCTGCATAGGAAAGATATATTGGTTATACTTTAACATGCATTTATATAGATAGCACTTTAAAGTTTCCCAAGCACCTGACATATGTTCTTTGTACCTTACACACCCATGACATAAGGTGCAGGTGGTATAGGCCCCATTTTACAAATGGGGGAAAACTGAAACTCAGAGAGGTTAAGTGAGGAATTGAGAGGTTGTAGCTCTAAAGCTGGAAGGCCTTAGTCTAATTCAGTTCCCTTCTTTTACAGATAAGGAGACTGAGGCCCAGGGAGGTCAAATGACTTCACTAAGGTCACTCAGGTAGTAATTGTCAGAGGTGGGCTTTGAACCCAGGCTTCTGAACCAGTATTCTTCCCACTGTACAATGCTACCTCCCACAGGACATAACAGCTGGTCAGTGTCAAGCAGCAATATTAGGAACCCAGATCTTGAAGACTCTGAGGCCAGTCCTCTCCCCACTATACTGCACTGTTTTTTGCTATCATAGGAATTAGACCTGGAAGGGACTTAGATTTCATCTAAACTAGCTCACTCTCTTAAGAAAGAGAAAACTGAGATGCAGAGAGGAAAACTGTCTGAGGTTACATAAATGGAGAAAGTGGGATTGGAGCCTAGCTCTTTGACTCCAGATTCAAGGCTTTTAGCTTTTCTTCTATACCATGGCTGCATCTCATGAAGCTATTATAGAGGAAACCTAGGTAACCAGCGAGCCAGTGCTGGGCTTGAATCTTTTTGTGATAAGGCTATTGCTAACACTATATATCCATTTAATCTTCTTTTAGAAATCTGCTGTTTTAATGCAGCTTCCCTTTGTGCTGTATGTAGAAGGCTCTGTAGAAGTCACTTCAAAGTAGGTCTCAGTGTGGGTACTTTTCAAGAGTATAGTAGTCTAGGGGTAGTGCAATGATGATAATAATAAGTAGCATTTATATAGCACTTGAAAGTATGCAAAGTACTTTACAAATATTTTATTTTCAACAGCTCTGGGAGGTAGGTGCTATTATTATTTCCACTTTGCAGGTGAGGAAACTGAGGCAGACAGAGGTTAAGTGACTTTTCCCAGGGTTACACAGCTACCAGTCTACCTGACTCCAGGTCCAGTGCTCTATCCACTAGGCCACCAAGAAGAGTGAGAAGACCTGCCTTTGCCAGTAGCTAGCTGTGACTTTGGCAAATTGTTTCATTACTCAGGGTCTAAATTCCACATCTGTGAAATGGGGATGGTAGTATTTTTCCAGCCCATTTCATTTGTTATCAGTCAAAAGAGAGCCTGTGAGAAAGCTCAAGTATTGTGCCAATATAAGGTAAAATTCATAAGATGTCAGAGCCAGAGAACCTTAGCAATCAGGGGCAACATGATGCAGTAGAACGGTTTCTACTCTGACCTGTATAATAGAATTTGACATTCTATGATTCTTAAATTGTTTTTAAAAGAATTTGCAAAAATAATTTTGGGTAAATGTGTATATTATGTAGCTGGATACAAACTGTTCATAAATGTAATGTAACTATACACTATTAAGTAATATTGTATCATAGCATTGCTTTACTGTAGGGAGAAGGGAGGAAGGTGTCATGGAATTTCAGAGCTAAAAAGAGACCTTAGAGATTTTGTTTAGCAGACATTTATCTCTTCTCCAATTCATCTTTCCCACAAATACCAAAATGATATTTCTAAAGCATATGCCAAACCATGTCACTACCCTGGTCAGTAAGCTCCTTGTGGTTCCTTATTACTTCTAGGATCAAATACAAACTAATCTGGCATTTAAAGCCTTTCACAACCTGGCTCCAACCTTCTCTTCTGACCTTATTATACATTATTTCCCTTCATGCACTCTAACATTTAGCTATACTGTTTATTTATTTTACTGTTCCCCACATGTTATTACTCCATCGCCCAACTCCATCTTCTGTGAAGTCTGTCTTCTGTACCTGCCATGCAATACAATCTTTTTTGACTTTCACCTCTTAGAATCCCAAGTGACTTCTAAAGTTCAGCTCAAAGGCTACCATAAGATAGCCTTTTCTGAATCCCCTCTAGCTGCTAGTGCCTCTACTATAAAACCAACATGTTTATTTTGTATATATGTATATGCTTCTCAATAGAATACAAGGGCCTTCTAAATTCATTTTATTTTTCAATTAACAAGCATTCATTTCCTTTCCTCCTACACCTACCGTTAGGGTGAAAAAAAGACAAAATCTTTGTAACAAATATGCTAGTCAAGTAAAACAGATTTTCACACTATGTCCAAAAATGCATATCTCCTGCATCTTGAATCCATCATCTTACTGTCAGAAAGTGAGTAGTGAAGTGTTATCATTAGTCCTCTAGAATCATGGTTGCAAAATGTAAACTTCTTGAGGGAAAAATTGTTTCATTTTCCTTTGTATCCTAAGTGCCAACTGCACAGTAAATACTTTCCCAACCCCTTACAATTCTAGTGCCTTCCCTCTCTTATCTCCTATTTATCCTGTACATAGCTTGTTTGTGTAGTTGTTTGCTTATTGTAATACAATCCCATTAGATTATAAACTCTTTGAAGGCAGGAACTGTCTTTTGCCTCTTTTTCTATCCTTAGCACTTAGCCTGGCACATAGTAGGCACTTAATAAATACTTATTGGCTGACCAATTGCTTAATAAGTAATTATCGATTGTAAGTACTTAATGTGCAAAGCACTGGAGGGGAGTATCTATTTTTAAGAAACTTGTGCTTCAGAGATGTGTACACAGATAGTATAACTTACATGATGATTAAGTCTATAAGAGAGGTTAAACAGATCTAAGCCACCCCCCTTATTTTACAAATAAAGAAACTGAGGCCCAGGCAAGTTAAGTAATTTACCGTAAAGAACTGTATTTTCTTAATTTGAAACACCAGCTCTCAGATTCACCATCCATGATCATTTCTACTTCATTGGTCAAGATTCATTCTTGGGCCCATCTCAGCAATTCATTTTACTTTGACAAACACATGTTAACCAACAAATGAGTCAGTCAATGCTAGGTGATGGGTATACAAAAACAAAAATGAAAACATCCCTGCCCTCTAGAAGTTTACATTTATCCTCTGGGTTGGGGAACAACAACAAATAAATATGAAACATATACAAAATCACCTTTTTTTTTTTTTTTTTGGTTGGAGGGGAAAGGAGTACTGACATCTGAGAAGGAGCATTTGGCTCAGGGACATGTTCTTGGTTTCTGTGAATTCAACTAGTTTGTTTTTTTTGGTTTGTTTTGCATGAGGCAATCAGGGTTAAGTGACTTGCCCAGGATCATACATTTTGTAAGTGTCAGGTGTCTGAGGCTGGATTTGAACTCAAGTCCTCCTGACTCAAGGTCCAGTGCTTTATCCACTCACTGTGCCATCTAGCTGCCCCAATTCAACTAGTTTTTGTAGTTTGATGCATTTGCTCCAAACATGTGTGCTCATGGCTGAATTTTACCTCACAGTTTTGTCCTGTGTAGCATACTTTCTGTAAATATTTTCCAACTCAGACGCCACAGACATTTCAGGCTAAAGTAGAAGCATCAGTTGGATGGCACAGCATGAGTCAGGTTGAGTCTGCTCTGGAAGCTGCTGAGTGTGAAGAGGTAAAAGGCATGGACGTGAAGGGCAGTGGTTTGTGAAGTGACTATACCTTACAATGAAGTCTTTGGTTCTTCAGTGATTAAATCCCCTTTGGTTGGGTCCAGATTGCATTGTACAGTGAAGTGTTGAGTGGGACTTGTGTGTGTTCATATT